TGTAGTGACGCTGTTCGGCCGCACGGTAGAGCTTCTGTGCATAGTTCCCCCAGTCACTCCGCTTCCCGAGCTGACCCCAGCACCGGTCGCTGCAACAACGCAAGATCTAAGCTTATCACATGCACATGATAACGTTATATCATTAACCTGACCGGTATGAATAGCGTTCCGATGTTGCATGGGACTTGAAGTTCCATTCAAAGTCTCATATCTGAGTAATTTTTTATACATTGTAGTGTGGTTAATATATGAATGGGCGTCTTACTTGTTCCTAGTGAACCTACAGGAATTTATAAGCTTTAAACCATTGCACACCGGGGCACGTCCCTACTCTATTTCGAAAGGTGTGGTGGGTTCTTTAACGTGCGTGGGGTGTGGCTCTCCCCAAACACGGGACCTCCATTTATCGTCCTATCCGAGGGACGTCCCTAACCGAAGCTAGGTACTCATTTTCACCCGAACGAAGTGAGGAAAGTCTTGTTAAGTGGCTTTCCCAAGGGCACAAGATCGGTGACATGGCAGGATCAAAACTTACCCGTCGCCTGTGTTGTAGGCATACTGCTTGGGCAGGTGGTCACTCCGCTGTCCGGAGGGAAACACTCTCCGATCTCCGGACACGCCAGGGAATCCGGCGGGCAGAGGCTCCACTCCACCATGTAGCCGTGTCCGATAGGCTGGGAGCTCGGGGAGAAGGTCAGGGTCATGGTCTGTCCCTCCTCCGCGCCGATCGTGACCGGTCCGCCCCGCTCCCCACACTTGGTCGTGTTCCCGACCTGCCCGTTGCTGTCAGTGGTTCTGATCTGTAAGAGCAGAATCAGTGTGATGTAAGGACATTAAGTAGGCCGTCAAGCGGTTCTTATTTCGTAGAATTTTCAGATAGGATGTGATTGAAACAATCGCCGACAAGCATTTCTTAAGACGGCTGCAGAATTTCGTATGACACATGCACGGCCCTTTTTTGACTCCGCGCGGGCGATGCATTTTCAGCCGATAGCCTTAAAGGAATATTTCATTGTAACCATGACAGCCGGCGTCCACCCAGTTAGCTTCATGATGCCGGCCAGTGTCTAGATCGGGAACAGACCGCGCGGACCCCGCTGGAAATGTGACTCCAGCATTACCTGAATGCTCCCTGAGCTGCAGGCGACGCCGAAGTCGCCCGTGAAGCTGGCCATGAGGACGGGGTAGCGTCCGTCCGACTCAGGAGCCGCGGCCAGGGACCAGCTACAGTCCATCCCGGCGATGTAGAAGCCAGGGTAGTTGGGAGTACTCAGGTTGCCGGAGCCCGTGATGTTCTGGACGTCGCTTTGGCACCCTGTGAGGTAAAAGAAAAAGATGTAAAAATTGTAAAACGTTGAACTTTATTTCAACATACGGATTATACAGAGATCTAAATATTTGCTATGCTTACTACCAACACAGATGAACGTTCATGATAGACGTGAACATTGTCTGGGACTATGAAACAAGTTTGAACTGTATTGCGTACAATATTGTCTGGGATCGTGTCTAAAATCAATCATCTCCAACTGCACAATAGCTGTAACACTTATTTTTCTCGATTCATATGTTAAAATTATATAATAAATAACACCCTTTTAGAGGCATCCAATACAATTTTTGGATCCCAAAACTGGATTTTCGAAGTCAGTCTTCCGGTCTTTATTCTAATGACGTAACTCTAATACCTTCGACTTCCTGTCGCTTCTTAGTAACAGTGGAAATATGGGAGACTGTATGATTAGTTAGAGTTGGTTTTTCCAAGGAGCTTCTATCACATAGAAGCTCATCGGTTTTTCCAAGGCAGGAATATAAATTTTTCTTTCTTGACTTTTCAAGTATCTGAATTGGGGGAATTGTACAGTTGTATTCTCAAAATCTCAGAATAAAAGTGTTGACATTTGAAGAAAAATACCTGCGCTGAAGGCCGCGTAAGCCCCCAGACCCTGCGCCAAGCACTCTTCCCCCTCGTCCGCCCAGTCGTCGCAGTCCTGGACCAGGTCGCACTTCTGGGACTGTTCGATGCAGGTGGCGGCGTAGTCGCAGGAGAACAGGTCCGGCAGGCACTCCACCGACCACTCCAGGTCAAAACCCTCGCCGCCAACGCTCTCGTCGGACCTAACGAATGTGCGCGATAGAGCTCGAGACTTTAGGCCATGTTGATTTGATTATATGGATGACATCCGAGCGTGTTTTCGACCATACTGTACAAAGCAGCTTCAAAATGAGCACATGTATGCTGTAATTTGCAAAACGACAATTATGTCGTATAACAGCAAAATCAATTCCAAAGGAAAAGAAAATGCGAAGAAATGAAAATGAAGAGTCCATTATTCGCCAAACCATACTCATTTATGTGTGTTTGATCAATTGTTAACCTTCATGATCACGAAGATTTTATAACGAAGTCAACATTTTTTGCCATGGAATTTATACCCTTATGAAACATGCTTAACAACAAACAAACAATGCTTAAAAGTACACGCGACATACCTAAAGTTGATGAGCACGTTGTTCCCTGTGCTGGTTACCGGGTCTGGAAGTGTGTTACCGCAAACCTTGGCCAGGGAATTGGCAGTGGTCTCGGCACCATCACGAACCTAGTAAGAGACATATGCATGACAAAAAACACACAAGGTGGACACCCTTTTTAGCCTTTGTTCTAGTTCGCTATGCACTGAGTACTATGCACTGGGTTAGGTTGCCTTGACCTCAGTTGACATACAGTATGACTTCATGACAGGCATTATCTACATTTACCTTACCTGTAAGTAGTCGTAGCTACACGCAGCCTGGAGCTCGATGTCCAACGCAATGAAGACTATGACGATCCGCTTGCCTTCATCCACCATAATCCTCCACCTGACAGAAACAATCGGAAGTGCAGTCAACAAGTCCTTTATTTGAATATTGGTTGTTTACAATATGAATTCATTTACATTCTAGGAGGAGATAAGCCTTATTGTGTAGAAATCGGCAATTGCATCAAAGGATGTTTTATCTTTGTTTATTTCGATACCTATTATCAACAGTTAATCATATGATATGTATGTCATGTTATATATATATACTTCATTCGTGTAAGTTCATTCAAATCTACTTATTTTTGTTCGTGAGTATAGGTGTGCAAGACCTAACGAAAGTCGCTGTACTTTTCTTTGAGTCAATACAGATTTTTACAGAAACATACTGTACTTACGCGCAGGCAGAGTTACTTGGGTAGTAGGCCGGGTATTCGGGGCTGGATATGGTGCCAGACAAACCCTGCACCACCATATAAGCCCCGGCCTCCTGCTGGCATCCTGTATAACAAGGGCACTCTCACATGTCAGCATAGGCAGGACTCACTCACTCACTCACTCACTCACTCACTCACTCACTCACTCACTCACTCACTCACTCACTCATTCCCTCTCTCACTCACACACTCACAATCACCCATTCATTCATTCATTCACTCACTCACTCACTCTCACTCACTCAGACACACTCACTCTCACACGAACTCATTCACTAACTCATACACTCACTCACTCACTCTCACTCACACACATTCACTAACTCATACACTCACACACTCACTCACTCACACTCACTCTCACACACATTCACTCACTAACTCATACACTCACACTCACTCACTCACACACACACACACACACACACACACACGCACACACACACACACATTCACACACTCACTCACTCACTCACTCACTCACTCACTCACTCACTCACTCACTCACTCACTCACTCACTCACTCCCGTGCATATATGTGAGAAGAATTCCTAACCTTGATCCAGATTTCCCTCTGTAGTTGTTAGTGAAGAAGGGTTGGTGGCCGACAACACACGCAACCACACAGGTCCCGGAGCACACGTGAAAAAAAACACAATAAAACAAACAAATCAATACAAAATTGGGTAAGGACAACCATCACGCGTTTGCTGTCACTTGACTTTCTTAGGAAAGACTTAAGTGAAGTAAATTTGTGTTACAGAAAATAAAGGGAACAAATTGGGTATAAAGTCTGTAACAGAGGCAGATATCTCAGTCAGCGTGCGTAGTCTACTGGCCCAAGGGGTTGAGGGTTCGAACCCCGGCTGTTGTCGCTAAGGCCCAACACGCACGCTATTGGGAATGGTCGCAGTTCTTAGGTCCGGTGTCACACAGCCGTATTTGTTGGTCGCTGGAAGGCCGACAAATTTAAAATCGCCAGATAGTCGAGCAATCTCCGTTATCAAGTTGGACTTTCGAAGCATCTGAAGACCACTTTAAAATGTTTACATTCACAGAAAAGCCGATGAACCGGCCATCAAGAAAGATCTCACGGACTATTCCAATAACTTTGACAAAAGAACGGAGGACATGTAAGTATCACAGAAGTGGGTATACTTCAAAAACAAGATGGAACATACTTTGAACAGGCACATCCCAAGCAAAATGACTTCAAGCAGATACAAATTGCCCGGGTTTAACAGAAATTTAAGGAGACATTGTCGCAAGAAACAGCGTCTTTATAACAAAGCTAAGAAAACAGGACAAGAGGAAGACTGGAACAAATATAAGAGAGTTAAAGTATGGGAAGCTGTGGGCCCTCTCCGATCTACCGTGTATTAAGTATGGGAAGCCGTGGGCCCTCTCCGATGTACCGTGTATTAAGTATGGGAAGCCGTGGGCCCTCTCCGATCTACCGTGTTTTAAGTATGGGAAGCCGTGGGCCCTCTCCGATGTACCGTGTATTAAGTATGGGAAGCCGTGGGCCCTCTCCGATCTACCGTGTTTTAAAAAGGGAGTTCAGAAAAGCATGAAACAAGCGCACTCGAAACATGTGGCAGATATACTGGGAGAGGCTATAGTTGACAAACCCAAAACATTCTGATCATACATACATAAAAGGACTGAGGAGAGCCCTTGTCAGGGTAGCACCCCTAAAGGTGGGAATACCATTATCAGTGACAGTGGGGAAAAAGCATAAGCACTCAGCTCACAATTCAAAAGCGTTTTCACCAAAGAAGACACAACAGATATGCCATCTCTGGGTCAGCCATGTACTCCTCCCATGGAAGACATATGGAAGTTTATTTTGATGGCGTGGAAAAAATGCTTCAATGTTTCAACCCATCTAAAGAATGCGGTCCAGACCAAATAACACCCTGGCCCCTCAAAATGACAGCTATTGAAATCGCAGCTGTGTTACTGTTAACCAATATTTTTCAACACTCGTTGAATACCAGAGAGATACCTAAAGACTGGAGGGATGCAAATATTTGTGCCATTTCCAAAAAGGGAGATAGAGCGGCCCCCCACAAACTGTTTGAACACATCATTCATAGTCAAGTCATGAAGCATTTAGAAAGTCACAACATATTGAAGGACTACCAGCATGGGTTTAGAGCCAAGCGATCCACAGAAACACAGATGGTGCACTGAACAGTAAAAAGCCGGTAGATCTAGCGATAGTCGACTTCACAAAAGCGTTCGACAAAGTCTGGCTTTAAAAGATTGCAATCTAGCTTTTACTTTAATCAGGTTCTAGTATTACATTTCGCCCTTAGGCCATTTCGTCATTTATAAATACTCCCTCATAGTGATTTTCTGATGGACTGCCTGTAGACTTGGTGTTGACGCCGAGGCCTTAGATTGGAATGTTACCAGGGAAAACGCCCCGGGCAAGAACACTATTATTGAGGCGATTAGTTGTACTCACCTGCGCGGCGACTCAACACGAGGCCAACTGCAAAGAAGAATAATCCGCCTCCCTGCATCACAAATATCGTGTCCGCAAAAGTATTACAAGGGCTTATAGTTTAAGAACGGGGTACGGGTGCGATCAAGTGCACGTCTGCTATGTTTGACATGAGTGAGCGACGTGGCTTTAAAATCTCGTTAGTTGCTAGGAAAACGGAATCCTGGTATCCAGGTCTTGTTACAAAGTTAAGTGGATATTGGGGATTAGCGGTGATAAGTTGATTTTCCCATTAGTTCCCACAGTAGTTTTTCTTTGTCGCCAGTTGTTTTCCCAAGTTGAAATACAGGTTAAATGATTTAAGCGTTCCTAATAGAGCTTCGCTTTAAACAAATAATGTCTTTACATAGTTCTCTGTAGCGTCAAAACAACACAGAATACCAAGATGGTTGAACAAAACAAGAACTTTATTATTTAGAGTTACAGAACTTAACATGGTGTTTTTTTTTAATTCAAGACTCAGAGGGAGACAAAATGTCATCACACCTTCTCAGTCGCGCCATCTCTGGGAACGAGTTCCCTCCAGCACAATTTTCATGGGCATGAATCATGATCTTGTTCCCAGGAAGGTCATGAAAAAAAATTAACACACAGTCGTGGTGTCTAAACAGGACACACTCTAAAGTGTTTTCAAACTGCATTCAAATCAGTGAATGGTACGGTGCTCAACACATCAATATTAAAAATGCTTTAAACTGCACCAATGCATTATGTTGACGAGTTGGCAGTTTGTCACTTATTCATGAATAACATATTTTCATATATTTACTATGGACCTTTTTTCTGGTAAGAATTTCGTGCACTTCTTTCCTCACTAACCCGACCTCCAAACACTTCACGTAAAACTCTAAACCCCTCATCGGCTGCTTTAGCTGTCGTTTTTTTGGGGAGGGGTATGCATTTTAAGGCTTTAATCCTAGAAAAAAAGGGTCAGTAGGTCTCTTTAATCTGTCTTTTATCTTGTCTTTTTTTTAGATTTTGGCTGAATTGATTCAACAAAATACAGTGCAACCGTGAAAGTAAAAATGACATGCAATAGCGTCATAACTATTTATATCCCCAGGACCAGTCCCTCCGTTTGTTTGTGGGAAAGGGACAAATATTGGACAAATATTTCTGAAAACGCGTAAATAGCGTTTTAAGGGTTTCATGGACTTGCCAGGGCCTTAGTACGGGTTGACCCACGAAAGAACCAGGCCAGTAGCGTTGATGGGTGACGTATTTGCTTGGGTCGGTCGAGAAAGGGAAACACTAATTTTTTTACCTAGGCCTAACAATAAGTGACAGAATATCCGCACACACTGCCAGCGCAAGGACGGACAAAAGCCCAAGGGACGCCAGGATCCCCTCGGCACCGCTGTTGCCACTGAGGGCGGGGGCCCGAGGGTCGTTGTGGCCCGTCAGGACGTGAGTGTTGCACCTGTCCTCCGTGCAGCACAGTTTGCACACCTGTAAGAAAAGATGGAGGATATCCGAGAATAATTTGGTTAATCACTAGGTTGGTGAATGATTGAACAGCAAAGTTATTTATTCACAACCAGTTGTTTCACAAGAACCGACGTTTTGATGTCTGTCATCTTCATCAGCAATCATGACTGGTTTACTGTACACTGAAGCTAGGTGTTCTAGTGAACCAGCTAATATCCAGGAACACCTATCATATAAATGTACAGTAAACCAGTAACAGTGACGAATGTGAGCGGGCCTATCGTACCCATGCAGAGCCGTGCCTATCTAATTCTATTCCTGCTTAGGACCTGGCACATTACTGGGTAGTCTCCTCGTGTCCGAGAACGTACAGTTGCCCAAGACACGGTTCTGGATACGCACGGACTATCCAGACCCGTGTCTGAGCATGGTTCTGGATAAAGCACGGTTCCGGATATGCCTGGAGCCCTGGACTATCCAGAGCCGAGCCTGAGCACGGTTCTGGATACAACCTTGCAGGGCCTTACCTTGTCCTGCCCGTCGGCTGTCATGCAGATCTCGTACGCCCTGTAGGCGTTGCAGGACGGCTGGCAGCTCCGCCTGTACGACACGTTCTGCCCCTCTCCGATCCGTTCCACCTGGAGGGAAAGACGGAATCCACCGTGCGGTATTTCATACCTACCCGATAAAACAAATACTCAATGCGAAATGTGCTATAGTTGAGAAAATTTGGTGTCCATGAAAAAAAAAGAAAAACCAGTTCCAACATTCCGGTATTCGAATTTTCGAAATCGGTGCATCCGAAACGCGTTCAAATTATCCTATCGAACTTTGGAGCATGTGTGATAACCGCGAGAGATCCGACCGCGGCCGAGCTGACTAGTTGCCGAAACATTGGCAGGTAGGAAAATGTTAAAACGCTTATGTTCTAGAGAGTAAAATGCAAAGTGAAATTAAAGCTTGAAACTTAACTCAAAAGATAAAACAGTAAAAATCAATTGCAAAAGAAACGTTAGAATTCGGAATTCTAATCCTAAGGTGCAAATTCTAAACTTACCCAGCATGCCTCATCCTCTTGACACTCCATGGCAGTTCCCCCTATTCCGTTTCCCGTCATGCACTGCCGGTCTGTTCCCTCGCAGCTGTAGCACACGGTGTTGTCTGGACCTGGAGCGGACAGAAAGTAGGAAAGTCAATCCCTAAATCTTTTCTCCAGACAGTTGTCTAGCACTGTACGTTAGACGGGCACGTCGGCAGAACGTAGTACTGCGCACGTGAGAACCTCATAGCACTTTGGCACATCGTCTCGGCTGACGATGGACATCCTAGAGAAGAGGAGAGAGAGAGAGAGAGAGAGAGAGAGAGAGAGAGAGAGAGAGAGAGAGAGAGAGAGAGAGAGAGAAAGAAGAATACTGAATGCATAACGCATAAGGTGAGTGTTCTTTCCCACCTTCAGTGAACATTGTCGAGTTGTCCGAGGCCGTTGTAGTGACGATGTTCGGGCGCACGGTGGAGCTTCTGCGGAGCGTAGTTCCCCCAGTCACTCCGCTTCCCGAGCTGACCCCAGCACCGGTCGCTGCAACAATGCAAGATCTGAGATTATTGCATGTACATGATAACGTTATATCATTAGCCTGACATGACGGAATGAATAGCGTTCCAATGTTGATGGGCGTCTTTCTTGTTCCTAGTGGACCTACAGGAATTTCTTAGCTTCAAACCATCGCACCAAGGGGCACGTCCCTACTCTATTTGGAAAGGTGTGGTGGGTTCTTGAACGTGCGTGGGGTGTGGCTCTCCCCAAACACGGGACATCCATTTAACGTCCTAACCGAGGGATGTCCCTAACCGAAGCTAGGTACTCATTTTCACCCGAGTGAAGTGGCATGGCAGGATCAAAACTTACCCGTCGCCTGTGTTGTAGGCATACTGCTTGGGCAGGTGGTCACTCCGCTTTCCGGAGGGAAACACTCTCCGATCTCCGGACACGCCAGGGAATCCGGCGGGCAGAGGCTCCACTCCACCATGTAGCCGTGTCCGATAGGTTGGGAGCTCGGGGAGAAGGTCAGGGTCATGGTCTGTCCCTCCTCCGCGCCGATCTCGACCGGTCCGCCGCGCTCCCCACACTTGGTCGTGCTCGCGACCTGTCCGTTGCTGTCAGTGGTTCTGATCTGTAAGAGTGGAATTAGTGTGAGGAGATTTTATACAATACACGTGGACAAAGGCAGCTGTTGTTAGAGTTAACTGAGAAAAGTCGTGTGCAGTGCCGTTCCGTAGGGTACAAGATCAGTGGCATGTCAGGACTCGAACCCGAGACCTCCTGTTTCCGAGTCGAGCACTCTGCCGTTATGCCACAAGACACCACATTTATATGTAGTTCAAGGTGCTCAATGCATTTCCAGATCACCTTCGTCGTAGGCCGTCAAACGATTTTGAATTTGTCAGGTAGCACAGGCTGTGGTAGAACGAATATTTGCCGAATTTTGCACGACACATGCACGACTACTAGTATCCAAAGAATGGCCTCAGTTTGCGATCGTGCGACGATTGTACGACATGACCTATACATATCCGTCCATGTCTGACTAGATTAGTGTTATAGGGATCATGACAGTCGGCGTTCGCCGGCCCGGCTTCTAGATCGGGACAGACGGCGCGGGCATTTCGTTGGAAATGGGACTCCAGCATTACCTGAATGCTACCTGAGCTGCAGGCGACGCCGAAGTCGCCCGTGAAGCTAGCCATGAGGACGGGGTAGCGTCCGTCCGACTCAGGAGCCGCGGTCAGGGACCAGCTACAGTCCATCCCGGCGATGTAGAAGTCAGGGTAGTTGGGAGTACTCAGGTTGCCGAAATCCGCGATGTTCTGGACGTCGCTTTGGCACCCTGTGAGGTAAAAGAAAAAGACGTAAAAATTGAATTGGATGGTGTCTAAAATCAATAAAAAATTTGCTTGGAGATTAATTTACACGTATGTGTGCGAAAAGAATATCATACCTGCGCTGAAGGCAGCGTAAGCCCCCAGACCCTGCGCCAAGCACTCTTCCCCCTCGTCCGCCCAGTCGTCGCAGTCCTGGACCAGGTCGCACTTCCGGGACTGTTCGATGCAGGTGGCGGCGTAGTCGCAGGAGAACAGGTCCGGCAGGCACTCCACCGACCACTCCAGGTCAAAACCCTCGCCGCCAACGCTCGTATCCGACCTGGACAAGTCTTGCATTGTAAGCACTTCTTTTTATGCTGTACCATAGTCACAATTTTACCTTGAGGTAGATTGTAACACACGCACAATCGTGACTGTAAGAGAGTACACGAGGATGTACGAGAGTACACAAGAATGTACGTGGATGGGCGAGAAACGGCGGTCATGGAGACTATATCACCATAGAAGCAATATTTAACTTGCACGATTGCGCGACTATTCTATAGGATACACCGTATATTTTCTTAATGGTACAACGTCCCTTCAAAAGACTATATACTGGAGAATGTACATTCCACAAAGCGTCGTCCCCTCAAAACTCTTCTTACAATCATTTACTGCAGTTTTTGTAAAATAAGATAGTTCTTCTTTTCTAACACTTCTAACAACTGACATAGATGTTCCCGAAGGATTATTATAAATGATAAAGAAACTAAAAAGTGCACGCGCCATACCTAAAGTTGATGAGTACGCTGTTCCCTGTGCTGGTTATCGGGTCTGGGAGTGTGTTACCGCAAACCTTGGCCAGGGAGTCGGCCGTGGTTTCGGCACCATCACGAACCTAGCCATGGCAAAAAACGCACATGGTTGGTAAACTTTCCAGTTAAGTTTTATTAGTTAATTTATTATATTAACAGGTGACTTTCATTTTTTCAAGATGTCCACCCTGAGACCGGAGCAGTAGTTTGTTAGGCCATAGGCTAGACCATGTGAGGGTAAACGTGATGCATTTGCTTTGAAAATGATACCTTTCTTGTCTATATTTACCGACAGAAAAAGATTATTTCAGACAGTTGACACAATTTCCTAATCTTTCGTCCATTTAGAAGATCATCAAAAGACTTTGTCTATACTAAGATCACAAAACCAGTCAAAATTATTATCCACTGCCTACAAAGAAGGCAAACAGTAAACGTAGTATAGCTAGTAATATAAGTTGATTCGACGGTACTTTCTTTAACACTGTACAAGCAATTAGCCTGCGGGCATGATTCTGCAAATACAGGTATTATCTACACCATTCATTCATACATATATACATGCATATCCTGGCTTTGGTTATCGTAGCTTTGGGAGAATGGTAGCGCTGAGACAGAATTCGACCGGTTTCGACTTTATTTGTCTTCCTCAAGAATGACAGAGATTGAACCACTTCGTCTTTTATACATTTCCTGTGCCCTCTAGTGAATGGCGATCTGCTCGAGTTTAAGATATTGGCAAATCAGCGTTAAGGATCTCATTTTGCCCTGGTTTAGGCTGGATTTCTCAGATCTGTTCTAGTTCACTACACTGTACGTTATGCACTGAGTACTACGCACTAGGTTAGGTTGCAATCGCCTTAGTTGACACACAGTATGACTTCATGACAGGTATTATCTACATTTCCCTTACCTGGAGGTAGTCGTAGCTACACGCAGACTGTTGCTCGATGTCCAACGCATTGAAGACTATGATGATCCGTTTGCCTTCATCCACCGTGATTACATACCTGGCGGAAACCATCAGAAGTGTATCTGTATCTGTATAGCCGGTATAACCGCCTTTCGGCGTAACACACCAGCTTAATGAAGTGTAGTCAATATGTCCTTAGTTTGATTGAAGATGAATGTCACTCTATCATTGGTTGTTAACGACATGACGATAAACACTCAAAGATGTTCACCCTCCCTTCCACGTGTACAAACGAATCTACTACTGGTACATTCCGCCCTATAAATGAATTCAATTACATTGTAGAGGGAGATAACCATTACTGTGTAGAAATCGGCAAATGCATCAAAGAATGTTTAGAGATTTTAGAACCAGCAGTGAATACTATACGATACACTCAGCAGGTAATCATTTCATTTTTTTCGAAAACTTTTAACCCGGCTGGGCTAGTGTTCCAAGGCTTAAAGTCAAACACATACATTTAAAATGACATGATACAAATGGAAATAGTACAGAAAAATACAGTAAACATATTTAGAAACATACTACATCAGAAAGTGAACAATGAACACACAAATCAACATTACAAATTAAAAGGCAGAGGTTGAGGATCTAGCTGACACTGATTCAATAATAGCTTTCTTAAAGCTTGGTACATGTAGGTCACACAGTGTCTTAACGTTGGGTGGAAGTCATACCAAAGTGCAATCGCACGATACAGAACTAGAACGGAAAGTTCCTGCTGTTTAGGTTTGCGTAGTCTGAAAATGTTGCAAACAGAAAATCTGGTGTTGTCATTATGAGATACCGGTACAAGGGTATCATATGATATGTATGTCAATTTAAGTTCATTTGAATCTACTTATTCTTGTTCGTAGGTATAGGTGTGCAAGACCTAACGGAAGTCGTTATACTTTCGTTGTGTTTCTGCTGTACTCACGCGCAGGCAGAGTTAGGCGGGTACATGGTCGGGTAACCGGGGCTGGATATGGTGCCAGACAAACCCCGCAGTATCATGGATCCACCGTCCTCCCGTTGGCATCCTGTATAACAATGATATAACACTCACTCTAGAAAGTCATAACATATTGACGGACTACCGGCACGAGTTTTATAGAGCTAAGCGATCCACAGAAACACAGCTCATACTAACAGTTCATGGCATAGCTGGTGCACTGAAGAGTAAAAAGCAGGTAGATTTAGGGATACTCGACTTCACAAAAGCGTTCGACAAAGTTCTCCATGACAGGCTCATCTAAAAACAGGAGTATTATGGAATCTAAGGAACAACACTAAATTGGTTTCAAGTTTTTTCATCTTACAGGGAGCAAACAGTAGTGGTGGAAGGGAAGGCTTCTGCTCCTGTTAGAGTAGCGTCAGGAGTTCCACAAGGACCTGTCCTGGGGCCATTACTATTCCTCTTGTATATTAATGACCTACCAGATCAGCTTGACTCAAAGTTGAGATTCTTTGCCGAGGACTGTCTATTATATGTAGAGCTGAATGACTACACAGAATGACTCACAACTTTTACAAAAAGATCTGAACACGCTGGAAGAATGCCAAATGGCTCATGCAGTTTAACTCAGAAAACATTTATGCATATATGAAACAACAACCTAACCCCACATATAACTAGCTACCTGTTCTGTGGTCAAGCCCACCCGTATCTCGGTGTTACATTGACAATTAAGTAGCCTGGAGTGGGGCACGCAAGTTAACAACATCACTGCCAAACTGACATTGGACGTGATTAAGCGCACTCTGTGGTCATGCCCAACAATGGTAAAATCACTTGTATACACGTCGCTTGTAAGACCAAACCTAGAATATGCCGCGACAGTGTGGGATCCATATACAAAGAAAGACAAAGATAAACAGGAAAATTGTACAGAACCAAGCTGCAAGATTCTGAACGAGGGGTGCTGGTGTAACGGAAATGAAAAGAAACCTACAGTGGGGGTCGCTGAAAGACAGACGAAAAATCCCCAGACTGTGCATGATATACAAAATGACAAAATAAAAAATTAAATTGTCAATGAATTGATACAAAATTAAGTAGGATGACTTTACTCCATACATGCATTTAACTTTGTTCGTTCTTAGTTGTAGTAGACCATACGAAAGTCCCTGTACTTTTGTCGAGAAACAAAGAGTGTGTCTATGTGCTAGACGCATTGCAGACGTGTTGCCTGGTACGAAAGTTACGACTTCTGAAATAAACTTTGTCCTGCCTTGGCCAGCCTGTGAGCGACACCTTAACAGGTGCACCGGCTTATGCCTTGCCTTCTAAAGTAAACAGACGGCGTTGACGGCAGTCTGAAATATTGATTGGCAACCTAGCTTTTCACTCACTCACGAACGAACTCACGAACGAACTGATTCACTCACTCACTCACGAACGAACTCAATCACTCATTCACTCACTCACTCAATCACTCATTCACTCACTCGGTCCCGTAGATATGAGAGAAGAATTCCTAACCTTGATTCAGGTTTGCGCTGGTCTGTCCCTCTGTTGTTGTTGGTGAAGAAGGGTTGGTGGTCGACCACACACGTAACCACAAGGGCCCCAGAAGAAACGGTTGATACGTTTGTTGTGTAGAAAAAAAAACAAACAAAACAATACAAAGTTAGGTACGGACAACCTTCACCGTTCGCTGTCAGCTCACTTTCTTACTCCAGGAAAGACTTCAGTCAAGTAAATGTGTGTTATACAAAATAGATAAATGAAACAAATGGATATAATGATATAAAGTCCGTAACAGAGGCAGACATCTCGACCAGCGTGCGTAGTCTAATGGCCCAACGGGCTGAGGGTTCGAATCCCGGCTTTTGTCGCTAAGGCCCAATACGCACGCTACTGGAAAGGGTCGCAGTCCTTAGGCACGGTGTCACACAGTGTTTTCTGCCGTATTTGTTGATCGCCGGAAGGCCGGCAAATTTAAAATCACCGAGCAACCTCCGTTATCAAATTGGACGTTGCGACTGGCGCGCATTTCTTAAAATGGTGCGATGGTCGAGAGAACACTGATCGATTTGCATACTGGGTGACTTGGGTAGTATTAATAAGTGATGACTGTAAGACATAGCCTGGCCTGGTTGCCATCCTATTTGTATGCCGGGGCTTCCATACTCGCTCAATATTCATTAGGGAGCGAGTATGGGATCCCTGGCATACAGTCGAAAAGAGCTGGTGGAATTTACCCGGCACAACAAGCTTTCTATATACTGCACACGACGTCTGTTTTCTCTGCCATCACCGGTGCAAGATTAGCTCTTCGTTGAGATCACTTTCACTGTCTTCCATCACTTAAGTGAGAAGCATTAATGTAGTGTCTAAAATGTCTTCTCGTGATCACGTTAACAACCTTATCCAGGTGTTGGGTTTATTTCGTATATTATAAGGTACCTGAATGTCAAAGAGATATTTCATACGGCTTATTTGGATTTAATGATACAGTGTACATGCAAAATCCATTAATAGAACTACCTTTTCTGTGCAAAAAAAAGCAATGGATAAAGCTCGTCGCACAGTTTACCACAAAACCAATAGAATTACGAGTTACTCGACTTCTGGCGTAAAAAGATTGCTATCAAGCTTTGATTTTAATCAAGTATTTCATTTTGCCCCCAGGCCATTTCGTCATTTATAAATAAAAATACCTTGATAGTGATTTTCTGATTGACTGCCTGTAGACTTGGTGTTGACGCTGGGGCCTTAGATTGGTATGTTACCAGGTAAAACGCCCCGGGCAAGAAAACTCATTTTTGAGGCGGCTGGCTGAACTCACCTGCGTGGCGACTCAACACGAGGCCAACCACCAAGAAGAAGAATCCGCCTCCCTGCATCACAAATATCTTGTCTTCGAAGGGTCCGATGTTATCCAAAGCCTCTAGTTTAGCAACGGGGTACGATCGGGGGAACGTCTGTTAGATGTGAAGTTTTCTTCTTGGTTTGGAGATTTTCGAGTGAGCGACGTGGCTTTAAAATCTCGTTAGTTGCTAGGAAAACGGAATCCTGGTATCCAGGTCTTGTTACAAAGTTAAGTGGATATTGGAGATTAGTGGCGATAAGTTGATTTTTCCATTTGCAACAGTAGTTTTTTGTCGTGGGTTGTTTTCCCAGGTTGAAATACAGGTTAATTGATTTAAGGGTATTAGCGTTCCTAATAGAGCTTCGCTTTAAACAAATAATAGTGTCTTTGCATAGTTCTCTGTAGGGTCAAAACAACACAGAATACCGAGATGGTAGCAAGAAGCAAGAACTTTATTTCGAGT